CATGTGTTATGTGCACCAGCACAGCATGCAATGCGTACCGAATATGCAATTTCCGTACTTGCAGAGTAGGACTACACTGTATACAATGTACATATACCCTAAATTTCCTGCTTTGTCTTTCTCATGAATCATGGGGGGAATTGGTGACAAATTTCCACTTCAAGACAGGATTAAAGGGTCCCCTAAATGGCATCACGAACTTGTGAAAATCGTGATACAAAAATCAACTAGGCAAAATGCGCGTGGGAAATAGAGTGACCTTTTAAATAAAGTTCTGGCAGGAAATCTTCGGTTACCTTTAGTAAAGGAAAAGTTGGAAAGATTAAAAGCACACCTCCAGAACAATTCATTGAGACCAAAAAATCTCCTCATTTTCAAGTAGTTCAGAGAAATGGACCTTTACAGACAGATGTAAGGACAGCCCGACAGACAGACAGACAGACAGACAGACAGATAAATGGTTTATTTGTACGACAAGATGTTGCCTTTTAGGCGAAATCGGCATTAAAGTTTGAAATAGAGCATTTCATTGGTCATTGTGTGACTACTACAGAAGCATTCGCGCCCGTGGACTGAATTTGTTGTCGGGTACAGAAAGAGCTTTGTCAAACGCTGAACATGACAAAAGTCATTGTACGCAGGTAGGTACATCTTTGGCACATCCATGACATGTATAGGGAATTTCTAAATGGCAGTCAGCTCAGACTTGATAATCTTGCTTTGTGGTTAAAACCGAATGATGATCAATTTAGGCTTCCAACGGTGAGACTAATCGTACGGCAAAATGACAAAAGGCAATTGTTCTGCTTCCTGTTACCCAACCAACCCTAATATTATAGCCCAACCTTCATGTTTCGATCAGCAAGTTAAAAAAAAAAATAAAAAGCGAACATGAGAAACAGATCATGTAGGCCTACTAAAGTCCTTCTCAATCTCTACACGTTACATATGGGAACATTGTTACTTTCCGTGTGTCTAAATTGTTGGTGATGAATATCAGAGCGAGTGAAAACTAACTGTGGACACTGTAAACTGACTCCATTTTTCCGAAGTAATACTTAAGCAAGATTCATCTTGACATCTTCCTCCCACACTCAATTAATAAACATGCTTCATGTGGTATGACTTCAATGGTTGTCATCTTTCAGCAGGAACAACAACGAACACGAGGAGCCAGTGGGTCCTCGTAAATATGAACTATATGTACTGTATTTTACACGGCCGGTCGAACATACATGTATTAGGCTTAACTTCTGAACCTTCGAATATGAAGGAAGGTATCGAAATCTAAACTTCACCAGGATTTGTCACTTTAATTCATGGCATTTGACCTTTTTTCAGTATATGTATGTTTACCACTTGCGTGATTTTTATCGAGTTTTCAAAGCTTGTGTACTTTTTATGCAGTCTGATGAGGGCCGGGTATGGCAGACCGCACACAGTGATACCGAACCTGTTGGTCATTTTCCTGTCACAAACATTTGTGTAAACAGCTTGGCAATGTAATTCGTTTCTGTTAAAGCAAACGTTTGTCATGATTTGGGGCAGATTTTGTATTAGTCTAGCTTGTGGGCATGTATCCTACTTTCATTAATGTAAAATATACCTCGCGGAAGGTAATCAGCATAAAATGCTGCAAACAAATATTTTACTGACCGACTGACTATGTATAGTCGAAATCGGCATGCCATCTGAAGCAGACATATTCTGTTGGCCAGTTGTTTATTTTTGCAATTATGGTCAATCTCATTGGATTCTAGATTGTCTATCGAAATCCTGTCTACATTAAATTTTCAATCAACGAACTACTACTAGCCCAGGTTCATTATCACTTACTGCACATGCATGTCCACGACACCTGGGTCATTCCATGAGGTTGGGGTACAATTTGTGACGATGTACTTGTTACATGGGTACCTTTTACCGTTTGCCATGACCCGTATAGTAGGTAATTTAATCTGTAAAAATGACACACACCTCTGTATTCAGCCTTGCAAGATGTACAGTATAACAATGTAAATAAGACATTTGCGAGTTAAATTTGAATAAAATCTGGTACACTGAGTTCTTTAAATTCACGTGAAAATAACAACTTGAATTCTCCATACTAAAAACCACTGTTGATTCGTGATTGGAAGCAAGCTTTTGCTTAGTTACATAAGAGACGCCTTGCAACAATACACTCTTCTCAATGGAGAAGAACGGCACAAAGGAATCAGTCCATTCCACTTTCCAGAGATGTTGGTCGCTATGCAATAGCTTGCCCCGAATTACGAGGTACAGCAACAGTGTCTTTAGTCTAAGAAATTCAAATTGTTACGTTTCTGTGCAATCAGATAACACAGTGTACCAGACTTTATTCAAATTTAACTCGCAAGTGGCTTATTTGGAATCCACAAGCAGGGAAATAGCTGTTCATTTTTGCGGAATCCATGTAACAATTGACATCGTCACAAATTGTGCCCCAACCTCATGGAATGACCCACCTCTCCATCTTTCGACAAATTACAATGATTACAAAACAATAATGGTCAGCTGGTTTATTTTAGACTTAATGAGTAAATTTAAGGACAGAATTTCACACCACACTGACATGCATCCATTTCCATCCTTTTTTGAAAGATTTTTCTGGGTTTACAGAACTTTGTCCGAAGTAACTGTGAAATCTAAGCCTATATACCTCGTTTCTTACGGAGTATTAATGTTTTGAATATTGTCTCCTCATCATAATTGATTATATAACTGGCATTCAATGGTGACTCGCGTGACAGTTGAACAAATGTTGAGTTTTAATGCATTACTGTTGCATTACCATGTAATTAAGACAAGGCATTGTGAATGTATCTCTTAGTTTTTATTTGATAAATTTAAAATTTTAATTGTTTTTTTTATCACACTTTCTTTGACGTGACTCGTGTGGCAGCATGGAAAAGGGCATTTTCATATCCCTTGATTCTAAAAGCATTTCCTATGAATCTACAAGTGTGGTAAAGTAAATTTTTACTGAACTAAAAACTTAATACTCTGACCTAATCCATGCATGGGTTACATTGTGCCAAATCTCTCTTGTGAGAAATGGCCTGAAGAAAATGTGACTGGCGTGACACAAATGCATGACTTGCGTGATGCAGTATAGCCTTTTCACTTTTACATTATAACTGTAATAAGAGTAAAACAAATCCGATTATAATATTCCATTATTAAAAATGAAGTACCTGCTATTATCCCTTTACTTTGGCAGATGTTGGGGTGGATATCTATAGGCATTCAAAATTTACTTTTAACAAGCATATTAAATTCATAATAACTGCCATAATTACATTGCACTACCTACATGATGCTGAATCTGCTTGGTAGGATGAAACTTCAGGAGAGAACTACCGGCATGTACATGTACATGTATACAGTAAAGCATGTACTTGTGTATGCATGTGGTATTGTTCTAAACTTTCACATGTGGATTTAGTGAAGATTTCACAGCCTACCTTCCACTTGGTAAAACAATGCTGTGTTCCAGAATTTTCTAGGAGTTTTCTATGTAGCAAAGGAGGGGTGACCGCATTAAACTAGGATTGGGTGTCTGAATACATGTATATGCTTGCCCATCTTACCTACATGTACTGTACAAGTACATGTGCCCATCATCATACTTTCATGTACATGTACATGTAATTGAGAGTTTCCAAAGGAAAGAGCTGCAATTAATGATGTAGTTGTACAGGAATGTACACGGAGCATCATTTTTTGTTTTTGTTAAAATCTTTAATTTCATTAACCCTAGCCGCCAAGCAGATTGTTTGGCTTACAGTGCTCAGTACTACAAAATACTAAGTAATACATGTAGCCTGAGCCTGAAGGACCTAGTGCGACATATTTCTACTTCTGGCTAGGTTACTTCTTTTGTTCGTGCAGAGAACAATAAAGTCATGCATTCATAGTGCCACAGCACTGTATTGTACATTGTCTTTTCTATTGTATTTTATGGCTTCAGAGAAGAATACGGTCATATCCTCTTACAAGCGGCAGCACTGGTTACTACATTTTACTACAAGTAGTAATTTGTAGTACATGTATGATGTAGGGTTAGGATTCAATTTCGTGTTTTCACAGTGCTTTTACACTCAAATTCAATTCCTGGTGTGTGACTCCCGTGACATACAGCTCATGTGTGACTCACGTGACACTCTTGAGTTTTTCTACACGGAATGCAAAGCAAATAAGAATATTCATGCTTTTATTGATAGACCACTACTACTTGCTTTACAAACATCAAACACTAGCTGAATCCCTGTCTAGTTATTTATTAATCTATAAATTTGACAAATTTTGTGACTTGCGTGACATATTTTGAGGGTGTTTTCAAGATGAAAACCTAAATAGATACAAAAAGCATTGGGAAAAATTTTCAGCGTTTTATCAAATAAACTGGAATAGCTACCTAATGTATGCAGATAAAGTAAAATCATATGAATGAGCTTCAGTTACTTTCTAAGTTTGTGATTTGTACCCCTGCCACTCCTTTTTGACCACAAATTTCATCCATATTCAGGAGACTGTAACTTAAAAAAAAAAATTCTTTTCGAGATTTAGATGGTTTCAATATCCCTCTTATCAAATACAACTTGGAAAAATTTATTCCTTTCACTTCAATTTTTAAGTTTGATGATTAGCCTTCCATGGAATGACTGATAAGAGTCATTGCTCTAACTTGTTGTCTCACCAATAATAGAGTATTCAACGATTGAAAGTTATTTACTAACATAGACGAACATCGGTTTATTTTCTATTTGCACTGAAATTGCAGTTATGGTTTTGGTGTAGTTTTACTTATCTGGTTTGATCTTTTGAAGTTATATTGGGCAATGCTTTTTAAACATTTTACACAGATTTGGCGGGACAGAAATTCAACATTAGTGCACGGACTATGTTCAAGCATTAGAGTCCGAAAAGATAGCCCACGCGTAATCCGACAGTCCCCCTGTTACTTGTTAATGTTACATCGTATCACACCACTTCGCTGTGTCAGCCATGTTGGCAGCGACACGACGGGCGAAGCACAAGCGAAGCACACGTAAACCAGGCAGTCGTATTTGAATAATGACACTAACCTGCACCGGGAAGGCATGGGTTACGTTCCACGAGACATTCGGGGGTAAACTAGCTGAGGTTAGGACCTGTTTCACCTATGTTTACATTGGATGCCCGTATCCATCGCACATCGGCGAAACTAAACTAGAGAATCTCGGCTCAGTATGAATTGAGCTCGTAGAACTTTTCACCGTCAAAATGTGAAGACAAGTGTCACGTACAGCATCAAACCCATTATGCAAATAGGAGCTTAAAGTCAAAGTTGAAGCCGATATTTGATCATATCAGTGTACAAAGCCCCGTATGTCCAAATCACGTGATGTTAGGTACGAAATAAACTAGACTGGTTCCCATCGTAATGAATCAACTCAAAGCCTTTTTAACATGTGAAATGAAAAATGTTTGCAACGATCACAATCCAATCCAAACCAAATCTGTGCGATCTAACAAAACTCAGAACAACGCCCAAACTTTCGATTCGAACTACACCCATCAAGAAATTCTCTCCAAACTGCTCCTTCAACTCACATGCAAATCCCATGTGACACCAAGCTCTTGCTATTGTGGGTGGACGCACATTAGTCGCCCTGTTTAACCATGGAGCTATTTCGTTGTGAGCCGGGGTCCACAACACAGACAGGTGGGTCACAAGTCTAGCTTTTTTTATCAGACGTTTGTGTCTCAGCACGCACGTATGTAGTTTACGCATGTAATCATTGTCATGTTGCTCATTGTACTGAAACTATGCATTCTTTGTGACCAAAGTTTGTAGTGGGATTTATACGTGTTACTCTCGATAAAGCCATGGATTCGGATAGAACTTCACCCCCACTTATATATTTTATATGGCTGTTTGTAATACATGTATTCAACCAATTTTCCTTTAACATTAACAGTCTTGTGATCGGTGTATTATTTTGCACTTTTCTCCATGTTTTAATTTTCCACTTAAATGATACAATTGCTCTTTTTCAATTGACAAGAAATGAAACGAAAAATTTAAAATGACCTATATTAGCACAACCAGTCAAATATGTAAGATGGCATGCTTTTTCTCTTCTGGGAAGTCAAACCCACTTGTGTACTTGTGTAGTGTTCATGTATGCATGTACCCGTGGTATTTTCACCAGTGAGAGAGAGAAAAAAAGAACGCTAAACAAATTGGCTGCTTGTTTGTCCTTTGTGCACCATTGAGAGTGTCAAAGTTCAATATGAGGTGAACGAATGCAGTTTCATCAGCTTGGTACTTTCCCAAGCCACGCAATTACACATCACTAGAGCCATATCAGTCACACTGCCAAATGCTGCAGTTTCAACTTGCAACTCGTTGTACTGTTGGCTTCAACTGTTCAAGTTCACGCATGGTCTAATTGATCCTTCATAGTCAGGGATACTGACGGGAAAACTGGTGTCATTCCTCACGAATAATTGTGTCGTTTCGAGCCAATCTTATTTTGTTTTCTGACGTTCAAGAACTTCCTACGGAATTCACACCCCAAAACATTTATTTTCAAAACTGAAGTTCCTTGCATCAAACCATGCATTATAATGTGTGAAAACGTAAATACACACTGCGGTGTGCTTCACTGCCACAATTCCACCATTATCGGGACAATGTAAGTTTGATATAGCTAGAAAAAATCTGAAATGCACAACATCGACAGAAGTATAGCAAGGCACGACCACTTTATGATAGTACCAGAAATACTATAATTTAAATTTAAACCAACTAAATGAAAATATTACAAAATTTACAAGTTACATTAGAAAAGGAAGTAAACAATATAAGTAACCTTCACGAACTTAAAACCGTACCGGAACAGAGACGAACAGGGGCATCGTGCATGCACAGGGGTGATGACAGCGGCCTCCCGTGGGGGACATCAGGTCCACGAGAATTATGGCGTTGGTGCAACACTCCCGGCTGACGGGGAAAGGTGTGAAAATTTAACATATTTGTTACAATAAATATGTGCCATTCATCTAGTTTTCTGGCCACAAGATTGGTTCTTCATTACACTGTTAAGGATCAATAAACAGACCAGCAATCCTTGGAAAATAAATGTTTACTTGTTGCGAGATATTGACAGAATCAATTTGCTAATTTTGTCCATGCAAGCCGTATAAACCATGAACATTTCAAGGTTACAAGCAATTCAAGTTTCACAGGTTTTCAACATTGATTTGTTATTATTATTTATTTATTTGGCACAACACAAAACAAACAAAACAAAACGGAAATGCAATACAGAACGATACAATACACAGGACAAATGGTTAAACTAGGCACATGCCAAGAGTTGAAAATTTTTACTTAAAAACTGTTACCTAAGGACCTCCAACTCCGTGGATTTATAAATAAATGAATCACACAGAATAAATCTGGCTTTTACTTTTTTTAGGCTTCGTGACTCAACGGCGTATCTAGCTCGGCAAACCCCTTAGCCAAACGGGTATCCACAATCATCGGCATCATCCATACTCATGCCCAAAAGTTCAGTGGGCGTAAAAGCTCTAACAAAAGGGAGTTTACACTCGAGTACACATGGTTTGAAGTAGCAACTCAAAAACAAAGCTTCCTATTTCATTTAAAGTTACATTCGATTCATAACCAAACATCAATTCGTCCATTCCGCAGGCTGTTTTATACAATCAAAATAGAATACGGTAACTCATACAATCATATAACCTCTAATTCATACAGTAATAAACGATAAACGTATCTAGTCCTGATTCTTAATTTATATAGTCATAAAGAATCCAGGTATACAATGTAATTATCGTGGTTTTGTTTCCCATAAGCATGGACTCCTGAAACCTCCAAAACAAATCACTGTTTGTTACAATGAGTAATATTGTAACGTCGCCGTTTTTGTGGATTTCGCACACGTCTGAAAAAGGGCACAAACGCTTGTCCTCCGGTGCAGTGGCTTGTGGCCTTTAATACTCCTCAAAACCGGTCTGTATCTCCTCTCGTATTCGCACCGAAACGAATCACACCAAAACACGTCTGCCAGAAGTGGCGCGAAAGCTGGGTTAAAACCCCTTGCTGCCACGTGGATTTTTCTTGAGCAAGACAAGATGCCGGCTCATTTTCAAGATTTTCCATTTTCAAAATTCTTCAAAAATTCATCATTTCATTTAATGGTCGTTTATACCAAAATGAAGGACTCTTTGGGTGCTACTCTAAAGCTGACAGGTAAATTCATTGACTCCTGAATATTTCAACCGTATACCCAGCAAGAAATGAGACCGAGGGGTACCCCCCAACATGTCCAATCCCTATACACATTCCAGACTATTGTTACGTAACACATCCCCCCTGTGATATCCTAAGGCGTTTAGCTTAGAATGAGAGTGAGACATACACGCTGTTTTAGGTGGCTGTACTGCAGTCACGAGGAGTGCGTGACCCTTGACCTTTAATGCTTTCCAAAGTATACGTACGGTGTCACAGTTTGGACATGTTTTAAGAATACTACACCCCCCCCCGATGTCTGAAAGGAATTCCCCAGATCATACTGTCTCATACCTTGCTGCATATGTTCAGCCAAGCCTGCAGCCTTGGAAAAAGAGCCCAAATTGTGCGGCGTTACGTAAGATTCTTTTGTTCCCGAAACCGGCACAGTGCACTGCTGATCTCTTTTCAATAGGGGCCAGATTAGCGTGCAGTGGTGCTGTGCGGCTCATCGCTGCGGTGGTGGAGAGCTTTTGTCCCCAGTGGTAATCCGCTCGCTCTAAATGCCTCTAACCGTGGTATGCTGTTTCAAAACGAGGTTGGATTATCTCCTCTATTCAGAGCGAAAAAATGTCGGTAATGCCCAGCAGCTCAGTCTTTTGTGCTGAGCACGGTCTTTTGTTATAAGGTCCAACTCTTTTGTCCCAGTTCCCTGGCTCCCGGCTCTGCATATAAAGCCTATGTACCTGAAAACGGGTCGCCCGGCAGGGAGTGGTTTTAAATTAACCCTATAAGCCCAAAGACCTCTTTGGTCGTTCATGGGACCTTTATTTACCAGGCACAATTTAGCCACTTTTAGTGTATAGCACCCTCACCAGTCGAGATCATGAAAGGCCACTCTTGCAATGCCACTCCATTGACTAATAGTAATGATATCCAAAGAAGGAGAATATTACTTAAGCTGTTTTGGTAAAAATCGGGGGAAATAGTTACATACATGAAGTTTATTTTACATGTACATCACGTGTACAAACCCTCTTGAGACTGGTCCGAAATATTACATTTTCCTTTGTCTGGTCCCTGCAACTTTGTTACAACGAGAGTCGACTGTACCCTGTCGCTGCTAAAATTGACTTTCCTGACCTCTGTCACAGGTTGGCTCTCGATTGTCATAGTCGAGACCTGTACCCGGTCCAATAATTTGTGTTACAAGGAAAATCTGCTCGAAAGAATCCAAACGGACAGCTTCTTATGTTGATCCTCAAATAATCTTATTGCTAGAATACACTACAAATACAATCACTCAAAGTACATGGCGATATGCAAGAAATACCAACAATGGATGGACAGGCAATTAAAGACATACACTTAAATCGAGAACACAGGATTCAAAGCAATCCAATCAATAACTGGAAAAGGAACCAAAATGACTTATACAGAAAAAATGCAATCCCTTATACAATCAAGAAATTAACAAAATAACTAAATCAGGCTTAGCTGTGATCTTGATCTTGCTTGATCCAACTTGACCATTGGACATGGGTGCCGCTCCAAATCCTTGGTAGTCCTTCGCTAGGTCAAGAGACTCACAGATCCAGCGTGGTGAAGGGGAAAAGGGTCTAAGTGAAGACGGTAGAGAGACGAACCGGGTCGGCTCCCGAAAGCGACATGACCTATGGGCAAATACCCTGCACCAACAGAGCACACAGGTCTGNTGGTCGGGGGGGCATCCAATGTTGCATTAAAGGCTGGTGCACGGCGAGGGCAAACCATTGCAACATTGGAATGGGGGGGTGGTCGATGGGGGGGGGCAAACTACCCAAGTCTGTGTTAACACTCACTGTGAAATGTTTCAAAACATGGCATTAGACACATTGGTTTCTGGCAATTCTTACAAATCATACGAGTCTGCTTACAACACAGTTTCGTTTTTGGCCTTGCCTACTTCTTCCGGGATAATGTCCATTTGAAAGGAGTGCAGTTTCAGGGACATATGGTGTTGAGTTGCTCGTCCTGCAGGCGGACAACAGTTCAGCGATGACCTGGACCCGGAAATCCAAGCTAGTGAGCAGGCGCTTTGTGGGGATGCTGTTGAACACGATGGTAGCTCTCACCAAACAGATTTGCAAAGAAAACGCGTTTCCACCATTTCAGGGATCTATGATGATACGTGTAGTACTGACACATTTTGTGAATCTAAGTCACTTCCGGCCATGTACTCATTATAATCGTTGACGACGGCAGGTCTTTGGATTGTACGACGTCCAGTGGAACTTGTTTTGCAATAAATGTCTTCAGCGTCACTTTTGCAGTCGTCATAATTAGTCAGAACTGTTACACGTTTTTTGGCATCCTGCCAAACAACGCATAGTTGCCCCGCTTTGAAGAAAAACTGGGGTGGATCATGTCGGTTCATTGGGACCTTCTTAGGTCTACTGTTTGGAATGCCTTGTGTAGTATAGTGCAGTTCCACGAGCTCCAAAGCCTAGCTGGGACAACTTGTGCACAAGAGCGGGGCTAGTGTAACAGTTGCCCATGAAAACAACACGTCCCTTGCTTTCCAGTCCTTTCAGTAGGTCGATGACAACTTGGCCTGATGCTGTAAGGTTGGATGGATGGCTGGCTTCAGCATACGCAACAGAGTGGGGGATAATATGGTCCGATGGAGCCTTGGATCCAGTAGACACCTTCCAGTCACATGTATAACCGGTTGCAGACTCGATCAAGGAAAAATATTTCAAGCCATATTTGGCCGACTTGCTTGGTATGTACTGTTTAAAACCGAGTCGACCATTAAACTTTATCATAGTCTCATCCGGTGAGAGGTTTCGTCCGGTCTTATAGATGCTACGAAACAACGGAACTACAATGTCCAGTAGCGGACGAAATTTAGACAGTTTGTCACGGGAAGATTCGTCTGCTGTGTTGTCAGCAAGGTGGAGAAATCGAAGGAGTGCCATAAATCGGTTGCGAGACATTGTCAACGGATACAAATGCTCCATATTTTTGGTAGCCTTGTATTTCTGACCAACAATTCATAAATTGACTTTAAATTATAGGTTCGTTCTATTGGAAGCTTTACTCAAAACTAGAGCAAGTTCAAAAATACCTGCCGTGTTGGGATACAATTGTGACTCCTGCAATTTTCTTTATAATTTCCGTATATATATATCAAGGAATGAGGTTTGAGACACATAAACTGGATTTGATGTGATTATAAGAATTCTTATTTATTAAACCTCCGATTCAAACAATCCCTTTCAAGTTAGTCTTTGCGGATGATTGTTTTGTTTGTAACACAACCGTGTTTAGCAGTACTACCGCGGGATACTCCTACTCCCTCCCGCTTGTGCTCCTTCATTACACGATTTTTACATTCCCGTTGCTGGGTGCATTCCACCAAATGGTTGTATTTCTGCGTGCGAGCTCATTAGTATTTTGTGATCCCACGAGATTTTATAGTAAGACACGCCATAATCAGGAGGCATCATAGAAATATTTCTATAAATCCCGAATTTGGGACTGATAGATTCCAGTTCGGGGTATTTCTTTCACAAAAAGCCACAAATTGCGGGCCTCTTTTGGATAGAGCCTGGCGGCTACATTCAGAAATGAGCGCTTAGTTTTACTGCTGTTTTGGGGGTATCTTCCTTGAAAGAGGAATAAAAAAATTTTCGTGACTAACTCCCATGAAACTAAAACGAAAAGTGATCTTCTGGCCATAATCTTGAATTTCCAATTAAAAAAACGGGGGCCAACCTCTTCATGAGAGTCAACAGGCGGCGCTTATTTGGTGTATAGTGCAACCTGCTGGCATTTTGGTCTATGTGCCAATGAGGAACATTGGTAACAAAGTGACACTGAAATTGTAGCCTTAGAAATGTCCGCTACATAATAGGATTTGATCCCATTGTGAATGCACCACGATTAATTGAAGTTATAATAACATGAGACAGACATTAATTTATTCAGTTTAATGATTGATGACAAGCACAGATGAGTTTGATGATATGCACAGAGATGAAGTTGTGAACTATTGCTGGTATCCATCCATCCCATCCCTCCCTCCCCTCCCATCCCTCCCATCCCTCCCCTCCC